TAATTAATGAAGAAACTTTTCTTTATAAATTCTTTTCAATAATAGATTGCGTTCAGAACAAGGTTACGACGGCGATCACGAAGTTAATCCCATTGAAAATAATCTACAAGAAACGATTTCAAATCGCGAAGGTGCAAAAACGAACATGTGATATAACGATATAAGATCTCAAAAGTGATTCTGATTCTACCGCTCATCAGTCAAGGCCGTCTCAACATAACGAAACAATATCGTCTTCCACAGCGCGAGTTGGCATCGGAACGTAAGAGAAAGTCCTTGCGTGTATCGCTATATCGTTATATCGTCTTCTTCACTTGACGGCTTAAATCAGATTTCTGATGTATCGCTTGGAATGAAAGTTGCTGTATCGGTTTGCCGATATAGGCGTTAAATCGATATGTCGCGATATATCGATTTATAGCCCAGTCCTACTTATTACCCTTGATTCTCGCTAAGTTATGATCGCCAAGCTGGGCGATGCTCAAACCCAATCGTGATTCTGATTGGTTTAGATTTTAGCGTTATTTTTAAATGTTCAGCGGTATTTCAGAGGTCCGTTAGTTCTACGTTGGATACCGACTGGTAAGGTTACTTTTGTTTCTGGTCGATAAGATCGAAGGTACGTGGGCAGTCATAAAAAGGGATTTTAGAAAAAAATGTCACCGCCAGTCCGGTACCACAGACGCCATTTTCGATTCGTATTTCGCCGAATTTATGTGGCGATGGAGGTACACAGATTCCATTCGTGATAAATTTAGACAGTATCTAACTGCTATTAGAGAATTCTGTGCCTGAGGATATTCAAGCTTAATGAAGAAGAGAGTTGTTTTTTTCCTTTTCTTTCTGTGCTTACTCCATTAATTTTTGTTTCGATTCAAAATGCATTTTATTGGGTTTATTAATTTTGCTTATATTGGGTTCATTGCAATTTTATAAAGTTTTGGTCGATGTGTTGTTGAAATTTTCCAATGTTTATTGAAATATAATTATATTTTGGCCGCCATTCCTGTTACCACGGTGTTCCGCGCAAACAGAAATGGCGTCAAACATAACTCGCCAAGGGGCACCCTCAAGTATATTTTTACCTAATTGTTTTTTTTAATCTTTATCCTACATATTAGGAGGAAAGGAAAGTAATGTCGTTTTGGTGCATTTGATATTTGTTATCAAAATTTTATTTTTAATCGATAATGTATTCATCCTCGTTAGCAACAACCTTTCAATGCCGAATCGAAAATAAATCAAAATGGATCGAAAAAGTGAATCGATTTTTAGAATTAACGAATATTTAATGCGCCGAAACGACATTACTTTCCAGTCCCCATATGTTCGCCCAGCAAAATAAAAAAAAAATTCCTACCAACACGACAACTATGTAAATACTTAACATTACCACAAAGGGTTAAATATGTGAGAAATGTTATTAAACTACACAAAATAAGCGATTCCAAAGCACATTAAAAAAAATTTTTGGATAATTTATAAAACATATTTGGATAATTTATAGTAAAAAACATAATGCATCAAAAATAATTTTTTTTAATTAGTTCTGGTTGCTAGAGAACTATTTTCTTCAGTTTTTTCTTTCCAGCGTAATAACATGGCACAGGATAATTGTACATAATAAAATTGCCAAATATAGCATACCATAAAATTGTATTAAAAGAAAGTATGAGAATAGCAAATAATAACAGTAATTAAAAAATAGATACTTATTGGTACGTTTTTTGCATTTAAAAAAATAAGTAAATAAAATTTTGAAAAAAAGTTGGTGGAGATCTACATTTTCTTAGCGACTTTTTGGTTGAGCTTAGCTAACCAAAAAATATTATTTGTTGTTTTTTATTTCTCGTATTTAAAAGTGTTTTTTAAAAACTTTTAAAAGAAAACCTAAAATTGAAATATATTATCATTGATAAAAACAAAATGCAAATATTTGCTTTTCTTTTTTGTGAAGTATGGTAAATAGGTGGTGAAAGTGAGATAGCATGTATGCATACAAAATACGTTGAGAAGAATTTTCTTTTAAAAAATTTAAATATTAAGAAAAAAAATTAAACAAGAGCATGTTCCCATGAAAACTAAGAAAAAACTTAGTAAAGTGAAATATTTAACTAATTTTATTTCAAAAATGTGTTTAGCATGCGTTACATCTGAATTACTCATGTGAAGAAAAATAGTTTATAAAATTAAACTTCTCTATGTATTTATGTAACAAATCTTTTTTAATTAAGATTTAACTAATACATTTGTGTGCGAGCATAGGGTTGTAGTAAATTAAACATGTACAAGTTACCAAAAATTTTCTTAAAAAATTACTTAATTAAATCATTGGGAAAAGTGATCTTTACTGGTTTCTTAGATTATTTAGTTAAAGAAAATAATTTTGATGAAGTTAAACATTTTTAACAAACATAAAAATTCGCATCAGAAAAATTCATATCTTTAGAGCTAGAAACCATTTAAAATCTTTAAATCATTTAAAATTTTCATTTTTTTTTAATTTTATAAGTTATTCAGTAGAAAAAATATACATCCTCAGTATTATTATTTTTATAGATTAATTATTTCTAAATATATAGACTTGTTATATATTTTGTAAATAGAGAATCAAGTTTAAAAAATTATCTCTTTGAATTTCAAGAAGCCACATTTTCTTGAAATTTAAAAATTTACTAAAACTATTTCAATATAGTATATTAAATAAATACAAGCACCATCCAGGAATATTAGAAGACAAGAATATTGGAGGACAAGAAACTCATCACTTATGTACCAATTACAACAATCTACCGACTAATTATATCTTTTATATTCTATATAATGATAATGTGCTTTTATATTCCATGTTTATCAAAACAATATCTATCTTTTCTTAAAAAATTTATGATATTTATTAACTTTTGAAGAATAAAAAGAAGTGTACTTCAGTAAGAAAATATAAGTAACATTGGTCTTTTTTCATATAACAGAGATGCCACAGTGGTAGAAACTCTATTCACTTTTATTGATTTATCATCTCTTGAATCAATCAAACCACCATTACTTACATTTCATGTTGCTCATACGCAAACATTTTTTGCATTCACTTTCAATAGTTAACTGAAAAACTTATTCTTTAAAAAGTTGTTAATTTTAATTTTGTTTATTTAAATTTAGAATTTTATAAGACAGCACTTTTTGCATTTTTAGTCACCCGTAGCAACCCTTTATTATAGTGAAAGAACAATATCCTGCTATTAACTACTTCATAAGAGGATGCTAAACCATGGGAGACACTTTTCATGGTAAATTCTGTTTCACCTTCATTGGTATTTTAATTTATTTTTTTTAAATTGAGTTCAGGTAAACCTAGAATAAACCACAAAGTTTCAAACACTGGAAAATACTTTTAAAATACCATAATGTAAACAAATTATTGCAGCATTACTTCCCCACTGCATGCAAGCAATGAGACAGTTAATTTTATCAGCCTGCACAAGCAGTTACCAAACATTTTAAGTAATTAATTAAAGAGTTACTTCATTAAGTAATTGGAAAAGACATGGAGTTTACATGATATTTACTGAATAGAAACAAATATTTCTAAAATTTATTTCCATTTTTATATTTTAAAAAAGAAATATCAGCATTTGAAACTTAATAATTTACTTTAACTTTTCCTCGACTCAATTTTACTGTTTTAAATTTTATTATGTAGATGATAAAAATTTGCATAAAAGGGTGGTTTCTCATTTTTCTCCTTGCATATGTAGTGTCTCTACTTAACCAGATTTTTGACAACGCGTTTTTGTCATTCTAATTTCTGCCGATATCTTTGATTTCAAACTAAATATCTCTATGTCAAATTATCTCCGGCTTTTCTTTTTCTATCTACCTTGAGGAAAATAATCCAAATCCTGTCTCACTTTAACTTTTTTTTCTTGATACATGTCCAATCTGCATCCACTTTCTCTTTTTTTATTTGCTAAGTAACTCATCTTTGCTTACAAATATTAAACAGAGTTTAATTTATATATTATCAAACCATTTAATGATAAAGAATTTCAGACATATTTATTTTTTAAATATTTGGATATTTATTTTTAAGTATTTGCACAATCCCTCTCCCCAAAAGAAAGTAAGTTATAACATTGTAATTAAATATATTGATTTTTAAATGATTTAATACATTTTTCGCATTTTCAAACCTATTTAAAAATGAAAATCCCACTTGCGATTTATTTAATTCAGTGAAAACATTTTCATCTATTCCACTTTTGATAATGAGAATGCAACCTAAATATGAAAAACTATCAACTACTATAATATTAACATTCTGTAGAAATTATGTCTCGACCTAGTTTTTAATTAATCTTCATAGTTTTAGTTTTCTTTTCCAAGACTTATAAAAAAAATTAGTTCTAATAAAGCGAAACCATATAAACTACTTAATTTATATAAGAAGTAAAATGTTTTTAATGATGAAAATTATCCTAAAATAAACATAGACATTGCTTCTCTAAAAAAATTAGAAATATGTACAAAATTTTACACTACTGGATAAATAATAATATTTGTTTTTCTTACGGGATTTTTGATATTAAATTGAGGTAGTTTAAAAACCATAAATCTCATAAAAGGTTTTTAGCTATTGATAATTTGTAAATTTTTATTACACGCTTTTCCATTTTTTAGAATGAAATTCTCTTTCAAGCGTATAACGCAATTAATTATCACATAAAATAGAAATGAGAAACAGAAATTTACAAAAAAATTAATTATCACGAATCTGGGAAAATTTCATATCATGAAGAGTAGATCTAACTGAATAACACATAAAATGTTCTAGCAACAAGTGTCAGTAAATTTATAAAAAAACGAAAGCTTTATCAATTTTTAATTGGAAATAATAATAAAAAATTTAATGCGTATACACATTTTTCTTTAAGAAAAAGCATACAATAATTATTACCATTTTTGTTCGAGAACAGATTGCTACAAATGCCGGTATGTTCAACTTAACTTTGCTTCGTATCAAGATATTTATCATTTCAACAGAATATTAAAGAGAAACAACTCATAAAATAAACAAACAGAAAGCTCGTTCAGCATTGCCAGTTTGTAAACCTCAAATTAAATCGAATATCAATGGATAACCTCAGTAGTCTCGGCTGCTGTAGGCTTCAATTTTTTTAAAAATAGGGAAACACCTCAACTCTTTGTTATTCCTTGCGATGTTTTTATTTTGGAGCATGGTTTTGTGATTTTTCATCTCCATTATCTGCAATCTTTTAGATTTTTAATAAATTGTTTTATTATTTCAGTATGAAACTCAATTTCCATAAATATTATTACTATATTCATGCTTTTTAAATTTGTGTAAATCGTTTGATATTGATTGTATTGGCGTTCATTGCAATTATGTTGACTTTATTCAGTTATTTAAATAGAATAATTTTGTTTCTTATCAAAAGTTGTTATCCCTTTTATTAGGGAAAAATAAGCAAAGTGAATTTTCTATAATTTATTATCTAACACTGCATATTTATTTTATCTGGTTGCTCTTGATTTATCTCATTTTGATGCTTTTACTTTTAAATAGGTTTTCGGACTTAATATAAAGTTCCTACTAAAGTACTTTGCTTACTTATTTTTAAAAATAGCTTACTGATGTCTGTTTTTTTATAGTTAGAAATACACATTTACTGACTCGGTAATTTTATCAGCTCAGTGATTTTATTAGACAAAATTTCCATCTTTGCATTCAGATTTGATTCAATATTTAATAACAGGGTTGCCACTCCATAGGGAAATCCTGGAAAATACAGGGAATTTGGAAATCACATAAAATAACAAGGAATTTTGATTTTTTCTGTACGAACTGGGAAAATACACGGAATTTCGTTTCTTGCTTTTGTTTTTCAAAAAGAGTCTTGACAGCGCAAAGAGTAATTTATAGGTATTCGACCATGATATTTCAGCTGTACTAAACTATTTCATTTACCCAACATAGCTCTCACAAGAGCACGGTGATTGTTGCTTCCTTTTAATATATTGTGGATAGTATGTACACAGTATTTTTTTTCCACATTTGAGTGGCAACCCTAACTAAGTTTATTAACCTTCCGATAGACGCACGCACCTCATATGTGCATCTTTACTGCACTTCCACCTCCTTTGCCGTCAATAGATGTTTCCGGGAGACGAGCCTAATGTTATCTTCCTATCTTTGGATTACCCAAAGGTCCGTGTACTCCCGACCTTCGAACTTGTCGATGGACAGTTGCAGCGGCTCAAATCACCCCATAGGTGCAACGCTACCATTGACCCAAGTATTATGGATATAATATTTTTATGAATTAAATATCTATATTTTATCTTATTTTCTGCCCTACTCAACGTAGCAGGTATAAATGGTCAAGTTATATACGTAAAAAATTGCTACAAAGTGAAAAACCGCAGAACCTTCTTGAGTCAATTGGCTAAACAACTTGTGATGGATGAAATGATACGACGCAAGAGCAAGAAAATTTTATCTTCAGTACTTCGCTTTCGATTGGCAGAAGAAAACTTCTCAAGCCTCAGAAAATCAAGCCAAGAAAAGAAAATTGTGCGTGCCATGTCAAAAAAATAAACAACGAAAAAATACAAAGTATACTTGTGCTACTTGCGGAAAACACTTATGTTTGAGTAATGTAACAACAATTTGCAAAGACCTCTTGCAAAAATTCTTGTTCACATGAAGGTAGTTCTGAATCAGACAGCCTCTAAGATAATATTTTTATGCTAGCATGTGATATTGAAATAAGTTGTTCCGATATGCAAGACTCTCAATGTTTTTTTACAATTTTACTTTTCTTTGTTTTTTTTATGTCGTGCAATTATTTGTGATACAGTTTTTTCATATATTTTAGTAATTAAATAAGTTTTTTCATACTTTATCTATCTAAAGAATCTTAAATAGGTAACAATTAACTATTTAAACTAGAATAAATTTCACTTGACTTTAAAAAAATCAAAAATACCTTATAGGTGCAACGCGAATAACCATGTCGGAAACAAGAAATAACAGAAAGTTAAAAGAAGGATGATGCAACATAACTTTGTAAAAACAAGGCAACTGAGGATATAATCATGTTGTGATCTGTTGCGCTAAAAAGCTAAATAGATTTTTATTTTATTTTATTTATTTTTTTTTTAAGAAAAAAAAGTAGAGATTTGCTATAAATTAATGGAGATGTCCGTATTGTGATCTGTGGCAGTATTGTCAAATCTTGGCAACTTCTGGTTAGTGGTCTGCGAAAAACAGAAAAACATCACAGAAAGGGACCAACTCCTCGTATATATAACTCATAGCCATCCCCGGGCAAACATCTACATGGTTTTTTTTTTTGGTTTTTTTTGCAAGTTTAAAATCTATTTAGTACCTTGGCGATTGTAGTTGACATGACAGTTCATGATACAGAATTATCCCTATAAGTTATGCCTTTCAAGTTGTCCTCCTATAATGTTCTTTTTTGCGTTGCCTCTGAGGCTCTGCCCAGAATTAGCCAAAACTTGGCAATTATTTTGCCCCTAATCACATTACGGAAATCTTCCCGTTCCAATCACTATCACCAAGGTACCAAATGGATTTTGTCATTGTAATGAAAAAGGCTTCTGATCTATCTTCATCTACTGGGGGGAAAAATTTCACGCTTAAAAACTATAAAAATATACTCAAATTTCTCAAAGACAATAAAAAAATGAATAATTTTGCAACAGTTTCTCATCTTTTTCTTGCTTTAGCAAATTTAACAAGAGTTACGGACATTAACCGATGTCTAAATTCATTATTTTTCTTTTTAGCCTATATTTTGCTATTGAATGATTAAAGACACCAAACTGTACAGACAAAAAGTATAAGCTGCAACTAGGACTAGGAAGTAGTCATATTGAAGTAAGTTACAAATAAACTTGTTTTCAGCAATTTTATAAAATTTTAATCAATCTACTGAAATGTGTTTTCTAATAATGTTTTCAAACTTGTATTCAACTTGTTTTCAGCGATTTTATAAAATTTTTATTAATCTACACAAATGTGCTTTCTAATAATGTATTAAAAATTTTGTCTAATGGTACCTTCAGAAGTAAATTATTTTGCAACTTACCTATTTATTATAGCAGAATTTTACTTTTAAATGAATTTTTATCTTAAAAATCTATTTTATTTGCGGTTTTTACTGTCCCTATATGAATTGTGAAAATCATAGTTGCTAAGCCACTGAACTATTGTAGTGAAGGACCCTTGTTCTATCCATTGTTGTGTCTTCAAGTTCACTCAACTTCAAATCAGTGAACTTTGGTAGTGAAGGTGGTCAGTGCACAATAGTAACATTGCGGTGTCATGCCTAGGTCTCAAAATTCTTGAACTTTAATCACCGTAAAGGACCCTTTTCCAACAACTTGCTGTTGTAGGACCGTTTCACTATGTTTTTTAAAAAAATTGGTGTTTATATACATCATGCTCTCCATAAAAATTTCTTATCTGCCATTCTATTGCCGATGATTGATTTATTATTTGCCATATTTTTTCATGTTTATATTTTATTGGTTGTATTTCATGTTCAATATTATTTCTTATTGACACCATTTTGATATCATTTTTGTTGTTTAAATAGTCCTTAAAATAGTGTTTTAATTTTTTATGTGCTATAATTTTTTACGTGCTTTTTTTTTTTACCTAGCAGTTTATTAGTTTTGTGTCTTTATTATTTCATGTTAATCCAATTTGATTGTTTCTAAAAATTGTGTTTTTATTTTATTTTGTGTCTTCCTTCCTTATTATGATAATTTTTTACTTGGTGTTTTAATTCATATTAAGTTTCGTTGGCTATTATTTGTGTGATGTATAAATATAATATCAGAGTAAAGTGCACAATTTTATTTCTTCAAATTGTGCTGAAGAAAACATCAAAACATAATTTTGTTGTTAGTTTTGTCTAAAAATATTAAATTGTATCATTTTGAGGTTGGTTTGATTTGTTTCAAAAGCACTGTTATATCATATAAATGCTTGTATGTGCCTCAATATATTATATCATTATACATCCTTGTTTTTTGCCAATTCTTTCAATTTCCCCTTATCCTCAGATTAATAATTGGCTATAGTGTTCATCCTAAAGCTATTCTAAAATTCTTACCAGTTTATTATTTTTATATAAATAAATCATTTAACAACAAAAATGTTGGACAATATGTTATCTGTATACACCATTTCTTCATGAAGAAAAATATTTTGAAAATTGCACTGACAAATATTGTTTAAAACACAATTTGCTCTGTCAGTGCCTTATTTCTTATATCTAGTAAGAAACATTGGTAGTGAAAGGGAATAACATTAGATTCTGTTAGCACACATGTTAGTGTTTCCGTAGAGTCTTGCTCCATGTCAAAATTATATCTGGTGTTTCAAGCTTCTTCTTCATTTCCTTTTTCTTTCACTCGCTATAAGACACATAAATGCACTATAAGTAACATAAATTATTAATTGACTTATTCAGTCTTTAAATATAAAAATATATTTTAATTTGTCCTAAATTTTCTACAAGAAGTAACTTTTTAGCAAGGAAACTGTTTTATCAAAAACGAATTTTTCTGGCTTTTAATAACAAACTTGATATGTAAAGGCTGAGTATAGTTGTCAATATATTTCTGAAGCTATTATTTCAGACAAAAAATATGGTTGCTTTACGTTAATTTTATAGATAATAAATACTTTAAATGATTCTTAAGAGAAAAAATTCAAAACTGTTATTCTGATAATATACTCCGTAAAGATACAGTATATAGAACCTTTTTTTTTTCTTTATTATTTAACTCTTACAATTTAGCAGTTGTAATGCAAGAGCTGGAAATAGCTGAGAAACTAATAAAAATGACTGAACCAAATAAAATGCTAAGTTGATAAGAGAAGTATCGAAGCTCTTCTACACAGAGAATGAACTAAAACAAGAAGATGCTTTATCTTACCATCTATTTAATATTACCTTAGAAAAAGCAGTGAGAAATTCAGGTAATCAAACACTAAAACCCATTTTCAAAAGTCAGTACATTTATTAGTATTAGCTGATAATATAGATATTGTAGATATATTGTATGCATGCAGATATATGTCTTGTATATGCATCGAAACCTTGATTTAATTGTCACAGAAGAAATTACTAAATGAATGGCAGTAATAAACAGAACATCAAATTCATCACCACTTAAAATAGAAAAATATGTTTTTGAAAGTGTCAGTCAATTTATTTATTTGGACATTACATTTAAACAGAAATTGACAACAGAATAAATGTGGCTAATAAATGCCATTTTGGATTTATGGGACAGCTCAAATCAAAATACTTGAGTAGAGAAACAAGAATAAGACTATATATAAGATCTTTGTTAAACCAATTGGCTTCAATGGAAATGAATGCTAGACAGTGAGTAAATCAGAAGAAAATATATTGTATATACAGTCGGACCTCTATTTAACCCTTTCACGCCTAACAGGACACCTACGTCCCAAACAAATTTCAAAAAAATCTTTTGAGACAGAAACGCTTCTCTGTCTAATGGGAGACTTTCCCACCAGTCCCGCCAATATTTTTGAAGGTATTGTCATTCACAGAACATAGATGGCACTATTGTACATAATGCTGCTCTACTCATAGTGTATGCTACCAAAATTGTTCTGTTGTGGGGGGGAAAAACTCGTCGCGAAAGGGTTAACAAAGTCGCTAAATCCCGATAATAAGTTCGTTATATGGAAAATTCGTTAAATAGAAAATCGCAATTTTAAATACTTAAACAACACAAACAGGTTTCAAATTCATAAACACTAGACATAATTAAAATAGCAATTGATGCACCTTTATCTTGTAAACTAGTATCTACAATTTATTTTATGCATCTTAACCATAAAAGAAATCTACATGAAAGCAAGAATAGAGCAAATCATTATTTAGTGTTGCACAATCATGCTACATACATTTTAAATATAGATTACCACATGCGTTCTTAAGTTTAATTGCTACTGATCAAATCCGTTAATTTTGTCTGAGTTTTTCACCTAAAAGGCAAACAAAAAGAGAAACAGATTTTACTACTTTTTATAAAAGTTAATTGGCTCCAAAAATTAATTCAAGGTCATTTCCCTCATAAAATGCATTAACAAGTTTGAAACGTTCCTAAATATTTTGTGAAGTAGGGTAAGTGGATCTCAAAGAAAAGTTCGTTAAATAGAAAATTCACTTCGCTATTTGGAAGTTATTTTTCGAAGAAATTTCCGAAATGTTCTTTGTTCCTCGGGAAAAAATATAGAAATTCGCAAAATGGAAGTTCGTTGAATAGAAGTCCGACTGTATTTGAACAAGAGATTTGCACATATGTGAAAAGATCTTGAAAAGAGTTTTTAAGTAAAGTAAAAGAGAAGGATGTGTGGATAATGAAATACATCTTACAGTTATACGACATTTCCAGAGAACCAAATATGGTTAAGTTTAATAAAATTCAACGAATGAGATGGCTTGGTCATGTCTATATATAAGATGGAAAGAACTTATTTAAAGAAAATAATTTTTCACAAACCTGAAGGAAAGAGGAAGACCATATTCAAGTTGGTTAGATAATGTTGAGAAGTATCTAAGCAGTAGAGTCATGGAGAGGTAGCTTCTGATAAGTTGAGGTAGATAAAACTTGAGATAGCTATGGCTAGAAATTGGTTGTAGTGCTGATAGGAGAAGAAAAGAATTAAGCAACAGTATTAGTATTTTAACCTTTAAACAGTATAAGGCTTTCATTTAAAAATAGGAATCAATGAGAAAGCAGTTGATTAATTTTAGTGTGCTGGAGTGTAATTTTTCTGTGCTGCTATGGCATCGGGAATAGACTTGTTTAAAAAATAATTTCTATTATTTTTGTTATATAAAACTATTCTATTATTTTAAAATTGTATGGTACCAGAATTGTAGTGGTAGAAAAGTTGTCAATATAAAGGACCCTTTTACATAGGAAATTGTTATGGTTCTAGATGGGGGGGGGGGAGAACTTGTGAATCATTTCTGGATGAATATTGAAAGTAAATTTATAGTATATAATATAGTTTTTAAGAAAAATAAATATATTTGATTAAAAAATTTAAGTGTTCCATTTTAAAACTATAAATAAATTTAAAAAAAATTTTGCATCCCATAGCTACTCTTAACCACTCACTCTCTCATTTACAAAATATACAAAAATTGATAACTGCTCTCTCAATTTCAGTGTAGTTTCAAAGATATTGTTTTGTGACTAGCTCCTGTATTCCTGTATATGGAAATCTACTTCACTAGTACTATTTGACCTTTCTGTGATTTTTTTAATTGAAAAATATTTGATTAAAATATTTTAAATGCCCCATTAAAGTTACTAACAATTTAAAACAATTGAATTCTCAATTGAACTGAGATTTCAAAAATATTATTTTGTGAATATTATTCTCTGTCAATAACAATGCATTTAGTTTTTTCCCGTTTAACCAAAAGTCCCACAAGTTGTATCTTCTTTTCCAAATCTTTATATGTTTATATTAGAAATTTTTCTGCTCTACTATTTTATACTGCATTTGACTATTTAAACAATGTTTCCATTATGCTATCAACTAACATAACATTTTGCTCATTATTATAAAAATATGAAAGGTCATTTTTTAGCCTTGTATTCAAACAATTTTAGATGTGAATAAATTACAGATTACTTCTATTTACTTTTTTCATTGCATTTAATTTTCTCATAGTTTGCTTCATTCATAAGAATAGTGTAGCAAAGAGATTTGTGCCTTATTGCAGTTTTCAATATGGGTGCATTAAGTTAAATAAGCTTCACTTTTCATTATAGATGTGATGCATTCTTAAAAATTCAGAGAAATTAAAGAGTTTAACATTTTTCATAATCTGTATTTCTGTGTTTACTATTTTTTAATTGAATCAAGTGTGCATACTCTTATTCTGACTTAACATACAGTCGGACTTCTGTTTAACGAACTTCCATTTTCCAAATTTCTTTACTTTGCGATTTTTCGAGGGACCAAGAACATTTTGAAAATTTCTTCGCAGATGAACTTCTAAATAGCGAAGTGTATTGTCTATTTAACAAACTATTCTTTGAGATCCACTTTCCCCTTTTCCTAAAATATTTCAGAACATTTCAAGCTTGTTAACGAATTTTATGGTGAATTACCTTGAATTGATTTTCGAAGCCGCTTAGCTTTTAGAGAAAGCAGTAAAATTCCTTTCCTTTTTTGTTTGCATTTCAAATGAAAAACTCAGACATAATTAACAGATTTTATCAGTAGCAATTAAACCTAAGAATAATGTGGTAATATATAAAATTACATATATAATAAATGCAGCTTAAATTTTATACACAAATGTAACTTTTTTTAGTTGAAGATGTGTGTAGTGTGATAGTGTAGCACTGGATAATGTTTTGCTTGCTTTCCATGCAGATTTCTTTTATGGTTAGGATTAATAAAATAAATAGTCGACACTAATTTACAAGATAAAGGTGTATCAATTGCCATTTTAATTATGTCTAGTATTTATGAATTTAAAACCTATTTTCTGTTGTTTAAGTATTTCAAAAGGTGATTTTCTATTTAACGAATTTTCCATATAATGAACTTGTTATCAGGATTTAACTACTTTGTTAAGTAGAGGTCCGACTGTATTTTATTAAGATTATTGAATTTTATTTATCTCATCTTCTTAGCAATGCCCATAATATTTGTAATAATTTATTATTATCTATATTAACTTCTACTATATCAGCAGGTAACATATGATTGTATTCATTTTTTTATTAAAATCATTGCAAATTAAAATATATTTTTTAATTATTATATAAATGTATTTGAAAACATATTTTTATGCTAAATAAAAATTTATATGTCTTGCAGAATCAGTATGTCAGACATTTGTGCTCATTAAAATAAACCTTCTTTCAATTATTCATCAACTGATTCATAGCCAGAAATAGGTAGGTAAAAAAAAAAATTCTTTTTTTAAATAAAAATTAAATCTCACTTAATAACATTTGTTAGAATGATTATATTTTCATATATAGCAGTTTAATNTTTTTAGAGAGCATTATTTTTCACCTCCCTTTGGCTTTAACGATTTTTAAAATTTTCGGGCCAAGCTAAAGACCTAAATTCGTATTTTACCGAAAAGGTAGAGTTGGGTCGAAAAATAAATTTAAGTAATGAACATGGATGTTCTAAGGTACTAAGATTTAGTTTTGATTTAGGAGAATCTAAAGTAATATCCATGCTTTCGTCGTTATCTAGGGCATTTTGACTGAAAGTTCTTTTTTTGGTATTTGAATTAGTACTATTTCTTGTTTGAGCATCAAAAGAATGTGTTTCAGAAACAGTTTCTGAATCCGCATTCTTGTTTTTCTTTGACCTTTTTCGTTTTCGTTTGGAATTGGTGATTTCATTATTGTCATCTGACATTGATTTATTGCAAGTCAAATCTGACTCCTCTTTTTCTTCATTGATTGCAGTGCAAAATTCTTCATTATTATTAGTGCTATGCTTCTTCTTTTTAGAAGTTGGAGACTCCACAAGGCTTTCAATATTTTGACGACTGTCTTGAACATGTTCCTCTTTATCATTACTATGAATGTTTGGTTCCATTTCACTTTCAACATTTACAGTTTTAGATTTCTTTTTCTTTCGCCTCTTTTTCTTCTGAGTAGAAGTCTGGGCACTCTTGTCATCAGTTTCTGAATCTTCTTTTATAGGTTCTGAATAAACACTGGTCAAAATCTTTTGCTTCAAGGCAGGAATTTGGGCTTTCTTCTTAAATGCTTGCACGTCATATTTTTCTTCGTCCTTTTGGCGGTATTGGCAAGTTTTCTTAATAGAGCACCAGCGATTCAATTCTTTGTCTTCAGCTTTTAATATTTCTTCAACTGAGAGTCCAAAATCATTTGGAACTACTCGGCGATATTTGAATCGAACAGGCATGTCAGCAATTACATCTTCACAGTCCAATTTATAGTATTCCTCTAAATATTCATCAAAAGATTTACCATCAGGATCATATAAAGGTTTTGGATCTGATAAGACTCTAGCAAATAAAGATTTTTTCCTTCCTTTTCTTTTTCTGTCTTTGGATTTTTCCATCATTTCTTTGACAAAAAGAGCTCGGGCATTAATATCATGTTCATCATCATCAGCATTAGAACATTCCGCTGTGGTAGCAGTTTCAACATCATCAACTTCTTCTTTGACGTCTGGATTTTCAGACCTAGACCAATGATTCCAGTCTTCGTCATCGATTTCTTCATCATATTCAAATACTGGTTTTTGTTCTTCTTCCACTGCATAATATTCCTCATCAAAAAGCTCTTTCATTTTTTGATCATGCTTATCTGGATCAAAATCACTTTCAATATCATCTTCATCGAAATTCAAATTATCTTTGCCAGTGATTTCCTGCAATTTAAAAAACTTATCTTCAATCTCCTTACGCTTCACAGCTTTCAAACGCTTGAGTTCTTCTCTTTTTTGCTCTTTCTCTCTTTGCTTCCTTTCGGCATACTCTTCTCTTTTCTCTTTACGTTTGCTATCTTTTCGTCTCAAAGAATCACCCATAGTCCTTGGATATCTTTTAATAAAATCAGGATCAGGTTCTTCAAATCTAAAGTTATACTTGTGCTCGAATTGCTCTTGCGCATCTTCCATCTTCTCATCCTCACTTAATTTTTCAAGCTCTTCTAAAACATGAAAGTCATCATCTTTTTCTAAATACCTTTTGTTTAAAAAGAAGTCTTTAAGAAATTTCTCTCCTTCATCCAAATTTGGATCATTCCAACACTTTTGAAGGTAGGATAAATCTTTTTTGGAATCCTCTGGAATTTCTGCATCACAGCCTTTAAGAAATTTAATCACACCTTCTTCATCATTATCATACTGTTTCCTGCTTTGTACCGGTTCAAGTGATTTAATACAATCTTCTTCATCTTCGTCATCATCATCCATAATAACACTTTTCAATTTCGCCAATTCTGCTTCATCAGATTTCTTCTTTTTTTCCTGACTTTCTTCTTGGCCAATATCTCCATTTTTTTCAAGAAGAATCTTCATCTCATAATCCTTAACAGTAACTGGCTTTGATTTTTTTGTTTTAGTTTTCGACTCAGGAGGTGGATCTTGGAAAGCAACAAAGTTCTCATCATAAATTTTAGGATCATTACCCTTTAAAAGGCTTAGTACTCTGAAAAAGTTTTCATCGAATTCTGATTCTTCTTCCTCATCACTCTCCGTAGATGAACTACTGACTTCTTCCTGCAAATTTTTATATCTCTGCAAAAGTTCTTTTTCTCTCCACTGATCGTATCTGTTTGCATACTCTTTGTTTATTTTTAAATCTTTTTCATTTTCTTCGCCTGATGAATCAGACTCAAACAGTTTAACTTTATCAGACATTTTTTTTAACCCTCTTGTTGTGAAGTATGACCAGCAGGTTAGAGTTCTGAAATAAATTATACAAAAATAAGGTTAGGGCTTCAGATAGTAAAATATGCATTTGATTCAGTATTATAACATTTAAATAAGTAAAATTAAAATAAATAAAATAACTATCTGTAAATTAACAAAAGGGAATATTTTGATACTAGCGATTTATTTCATCCTTAAAAATATGTATGTAGCAATTTTACTTTTTTTAACATAATACATTAATGCCAATATAGATTGGAAAAAATCCAGTATGAAAAATATCACATTTTACGAAATAATATTAATTTCATGATAACTGTTGCATAATGTAGTAAATATTTTGCGTCTATGCAATTTTTATTGTTATCAAAATACAAAAACTTTATTACATTAATAACTATAAATGGTCTGCACTGTTTTCCATTTATGATTGATATTAAATTAACTTGAAATGTTTTTATTATGTCAACAAACAATTCTGAATAGAAAGACATTAAATTTTTCATTGATAATTAAAAGAATTTTTTTATAAAAAAAAAGGGAGTTCTGAGTAAATATTTTTGAAGGGGGAAAAAAAAAAGCATTAAACTGATAACAATAAACGAGGCTCATTTTATTATGTATTAGTAATACATTTTTAAGTATTCAAAAACAAGCAATAAATCGTGGAAAAATTCTATTTTAATAGGGAATTTTGTTAGGAAATTTACTCAATTTTAGGGAATTTTCTAATTTTGTGTATTAATACAAAAACCAGGAGATTTTTTATTAAACCAGTAGACCAGGAGAAACTGGCAAAATACAACAGTCTACAGGTAAATCCTGTAGGGTTGGGAGCTATGCTCAATGGATTTTCAGTGAATTCAGTCATATGTGTAGAGTAACACTCAGAAAAAGAATAGATTTTTCTAAAATTCTATTTAATTTTAATTTCAGGATAGATGAAAAATATCTTTTAAACAAGTTGCCAAATTATTAAAAAAGCCAGCTTCAAGTTCTCTTTGCAATTGTATTAGTAGTTATAGTTTAATAATTACCAATTCTCTTTAAATCAGAAGATGCAAAATTAACATTTTTTATAAATTATATTTTATAAACCAATAATTATAAAAGAAGAAAAATATGTGTCATATAATTAATAAAACAATTAATTAGGATGTATATTTATATTATCCTGCATATTTAATTATTTTAAATGTCTCTACATACTGTTGCAAATTGTTTTTGACAAATATTTGAAATTTATTTAGCAATTCCAATAAACCAAATACAAGCTAAGTGCCATTTAATGGAGTCAGTAAAAGAATCAGAAAATGCTTAATTAATCAAAGTTTTATTAACAAATTCCTAAAATAGGGAGAATTTTGAACACTAATAAAAAATAACTATGCATTAAACTGTATTTTATTAAAAACAGTTTTTCTAGCATGAATACTTTATATAGTTTTGGTGAAAAACACACAAGATACCTTTAGATTCTTCCACAGTTTGTTTAAGCTTTTGTTGGCCATGTGAGAAAAGAATTTTTATTTAGGTATTTGTAAATATGCACATTTAAGTTTTCATGCTCTTGGTATTTCCGGCAAAAATTAAAATTCCTAGCGCACTTCTGCATCCAAATAGTCTCGGTGTTGCCATCTAGTGTGGCAGAAACTAGACGTCCAAATTAACATGACCAACGGTATCTCACCCATTGTGGTGGTCCTGAAAGAGTGGATACCACCTCAGGAGAACACAATAGGTCTGCTCATCGCAAAGGCCGATTGTGCAGCTCATTGGAAATAAAAGTTTTCATGCTTTTGACAGCAAATAGGCTTGATATTCTAATTCTTTGTTGTCGACGGAAAAAAGCAAAAAGAAATATCTTTCTTGCTGAGTAAAAGAAATATATATATGGACAGTTTTCTCACAAATATTAAAACAATTCTATAGTCCCCTACCTGCAAAATGGTTAATAAAGAAAAAAAAAGCAGTTTTATTTAAAAGAATAAAAAAATACTGCACATTTATTGATAAAGAACTTTTTTTAAAATGACAATGAAACATATTGATAAGGGAAAAAAAATGAAGAAAAAGGAGGACACGAAAACTGCTGTGTAACAGAAAAGGAACAATGAATGACTGTAATTTTACTACATGAGTTTGCCCTTAAAAATGAAAACTAATTAAAAAGATTACTTACAATAGTTTAAATGCACAAATAAATCAAACAAAACATTTCTAATCTAAGAACTGACAAGAAAAATATTATACAAAGAAGCACACTTGAAGTTTTAAGACACATTGAATGGGTTGAAGTCACACTTGAGGTGTGACTAATCAATCAAATCTGTCAAAATGACCTCACATGCTTTATGAGATCCTACAGGTCAGCTGAAGGAGAGAGAAAAATAACACAAAGAAAAGTGTCAGGAGAAAAAAAAAAAGATGCTTGACTGAAATAATTCAAGACATTGATGTTTGTTTATTCTGAAGGAACAAAAAGAACATTGCTAACTCACACAATGATTAATCAAGAGATTTCATACATGTTCTTCATGCTTTTTATCAAATAACAAATGTAAACGGAACAATATACATGCTAGCCTGAATAAAATAAATCAAGATAATTTCCAGTAAATGCTAATGTAGTGAGGTAGAAAACTTAGATAATTAAAAAAAGAAATAAGTACCTAATCTTTGAGATTTTTATTAAACAACAAATGTAAATAAAACAATATTTATTATATTGAATTTAATTAAAAAAATAATTAAAGTAAATACAGCCATACTTATAATTTCTTATATTTTAAATAGAATCTTCAAATAATTTCATTTTAGTAATGGAATTATATTTCTGAATTTTAAAAACGAGAGAAAAAAAAAACTATGATTTATTTGATTTAATTAGATTTCCTTTATTATCAGATTTATTTCTATTTAAACCAAGATTTTTTAAATTTTGATGATTTTTGTTAAAAGAAAATATAAAATTTATTTATAGTTTTGTTAAGCATATTATTAATCAATTTATAATTCTTACAAAAAATACACAACTAAAAATTAAGTGATAACAATAGCACACAATTAAAAATATTTACAAACTAAAGCTCCATCCAAATTTACACACACAGTGGTTGGACAAAATAGTGGAAACACCTCTACAATAATTTTTACAGCAAAAAAACATTTTTAGATTTTTCTCAAAAAATACTGAAGAGAATTATTTTATAAATTTAGAAGTGTTTAGCATAGGCAATTTCTCATAATTATCAATGAAGTGTAAAGCTTTTGGGTTTGAGGGACTGACAATAAATTTTGACTGACAATGACTTTTGCTATAACTTGAAAAAATGTTCAATTAAATAAAAAATATTTTTGCAGAAATTTAAATTAATTACAAAATTATTGCTTTAAAATTTGTTTAAAGCAGCACAAGACATGAGTAATTAAAGTAGTTCTTTTATACTGCGTGTGCAGAGGTAAATTTAAAATTTTTCTTCTTCATAATTTTGAAGTGAATTGTATTTTGCAACTAATAAAAAAAGTTCAATTTTAAGTAAAAAATTTAAAGCTATTTTCTAAGTATCCAGTCTTTTAAAAGATAATTCAAATAAGGGGTTTTCTAAGAATTTTAAGATTTATTAAAAATTACACATTACATTATTGGGGAAAAAAAAGCATCTTTACATGTATTACCCATAAAAGTATCTGTTCTTTTGCATGTTTTCTTTGCCTATACAATCATAATTTGGTGTATGAACATTTGTTGTAAGGTATTATAATTTTTTATTTAATTTTGTCAAATGATAGAAAGTAATATTTGTAGGAAACCCCTTATAATTTTGAGTTTCCTTTAAAAAGTACAAAAACTACTTAGAAAATTGCTGTAAACTTTTTAAGATATTCAAAACAAACTTTTTTCATTCATTACTTACACATTGCATAACTTTCAACGAATTTTTTTAAATTATAAAGCAAAAATTTGTAATTAATAAACTTCTAAACATTTTGGTTACTTGAATTGAATATTTTTAAAGCTAGGGAAAAAAAAAAAACTTAAATAAGTATTTTCTAAAAATGTCCATTATATAAAGTTGAGTTTAAGAATTTTTGTGCAATTATTGCATAGAATAAGCTAAGTAATAGTAACAAGTTTCAAATTTTTTGCTACATTTTTTGGCATAGGGTGTTAAAAAACACTACTTTCTGTTTGTAATTTATTGTCGGTCCCTCAAACCTAAAAAAAAATTAAAACTTCATTGATAAGTATTTCTTGAGAAATATGAGAAAATGTATTAGAATAAAAGCGGTTGCATTATTTTGTCGACCCACAGTTTTGTTTTGGTTGTATAATTGTAAAATATAACAGAAATGATTTTAATTGTAGTTGAGTTAAACTCTATTCTATAATTTTGTTTGAGACAGTCCAATTTATGAAATGCGTCGTTCAAAATCTTGGTTTGGATAGTTGGCCTGTTTCTGATCTGTTAGGTAATTAATATTATTTAATTTCTGCATGAGGTTGATAGAAAATTCTTTTATTTCTAATCTACTAAATTTATTCAATTTCAAGAATTTATTTTTCGAAAATAAATAAAAGATTATTTTTAATATATGAAATAAACAAATGCAAGTATGTATACATGCAAAAAAATTTATATATTAAAAAAGCATTGTTAGAGATAATTGTTTTCTTTAAAAAAACATATATTTTTTTCCCTATGTGTTACAGTCATACAGTTAAACATGTTTGGTCAATATTTAAAATAATTATTTGATAAAAAAGAAATTCACATTTTTGAATTTTTTTAAATTTATTTTCTTTGCACAGTCATTTAACTTTTTTTTTGCATTTGGATTCTCAATTATTGTATAATAAAACGAACAATGAAAATTAATAATATAAATCTTTGCTGCTTTTGCTCATGAGATTGAGAAACAAGCAGAAAGTCTGAATAGATATATATAGATACAAAAAGAAAATAAGATAGATTTATGAATAAAAGAAAAATAATAATAAATTTTATTTACTGTGCATGAGTTGCAAGTACATAGAACCCATAAAATAAGTTCAAAATACA